GTCTCTTCACTATGGACAACTTACAATTGTTTTATTGTATTGTATTGTACTGTATTGTATTGTATTCTAAGACAGCACATAATTCTACTTTCAACTTTTGGCTCAGCCTTGAATACCTTTAAGGAAATGGTGATCTAGTTGCTGATAGCACATGCAGGCCTTATCCAAAGAACAGAGTGCTGAAAACATTTATCTAACCAAAGTGAAATTGGGTCCACATTTTCACACTAGTATTATTAAGAAGGACATTGCCAATGTTATAGCTGCCTCTTGGAGAACTGTATGTGGAGGTCAACATGATTTTTCTCTGCTATTCTGTTTGTCTGCATAAGGCTCTTTGTGCCTGTATGTACGTATTTTCCTCAGTGGAAAGATTTGAATAAGATAAACAAGAGGGCCTAACATTGTTTATGTTGGACAGAAAGAATTCGTAACACACTCTCTGCTTACGTAGCTCAGAAGCTAGCAGCAATGAAAAGATAAAATCCCATTTCTCTTAAAATAACCAATTCTGGAAGGCAAGACATCTTTGTGGAACCAGAGCTAAATCCAATGATCAGAGTATAAGATTGCATTGTCAGGTTCTGATCATATTTTGCTGTAAAGCTCACAGGACTGTACAGTTTGGCCAAGAATTCCAGGTGTCTTTAATGTGCCTAAATCTCAGCAATCTGAAAGTAACAGTTTATTTAAATACTTTCCAGTATCTGGACTTCAGACATACACCAGTTTCAATGATGTTGTGTTGTTACACTGCACAGAGAAAAATGGCTGCATTTCTGTATATTGTGTTCAGAGACATACAAGACCTGTTGAACCCATTTCACAATTAATTACAACTAACTGTTTTTCTTTTACAAACTTCATGTTCCATTTAATTCCAGTTAGTCTATGTAAGTCAGAGATTTACTTGTAGCATGAGATTTATTGGACATCATTTGTACAGTCCTTAAAAGTATCAATTTGGGTTTCCCATTGTGTATAGGAAGAAGATCTAACTACAGCAGTTTCTGGAAGTAGCTTAAAATATTAAGTCCTTCTCTTAAGCATTTCAGCAAGCTGTGAGAATTGCATAACCTTTGGCCCTTAGGAAGAAGTATTAGGGCCTCTCCTTATTCTAAAAGATAGGACATACATTTCTGACAGCAAGAAATGACTGTTCCCTCTGAAAGTGTCAATTTGAGTTCTGGGGTGTTGTAAAATAGCTCAGCATTCCCATCTCACAAGGAGGAAAAGCTGGTGGTGCACAACCATCAGCTGAAAACAGTGGCATGAAAAGAGGAGCTTCAGCATAAGCAATATACAATAAAAAGTAAGAATGTACCAATGAGCTCTTCAGTGATGCCATTCCCATTCTGCCAGTTGTCTGGATGCTGTCAGGAAGGGTTGGAGCAACAGTGCCATCAGTATTTCAGTGGTGGTTCCTGTGGCCTGCTGGCAATAGACCATCATCATGATCCAGAAAGAGCCTAGTCTGACCCTGCAAAAATGATGTTCCTTGCAATCCAGGTAGGTCATTCTAGCGAGTGTCTGTAAATCTAGTTGATAGGAACAGCCACAATGTCTTGGTGGAGGCTCTGGGATCATGCAAATCTGTACAGCTGCAGTTCAGCAGGTTGTATGCCATCTAAACTGTGGTAAAGGAACTGTGTGCATTCTCACTTTGTGTGAAAGGGATACAGAATAAATCAAGTGGCAGTATGTTTACTGGAGGCTAAGAAGACATGTCTACTCCTTCAGTAGCCATCACCTCTAGCTGAGGCACAATCCTCTAGTTATAGAGGGTCGTGGGGAAACCCTCTAGCTGTAGCACATCCTGTAAAACAAAAGCAAGCCATCAAACCATACAAGGGGAAGCACTGGTACCAGTAAGGGGAAGAAAAATACTAAAGTCAAGACCAACATGAATAGTGTAGGCTTCAGTGGTTGTAAGAACTTCCTTTAAATAAATAAATAAACCAATGAACGCAACAGCATCAAAACTGTCAGGAAATGGAGGCACGTACTGGTACAAAGCCGATCTCCAACACACTAATTTGCACATATTTGAAGGAACTTCTTCAGTCAAAGGGAGAACTGCTAGAAAAAATTGACAAGGTTTGGGTTATCAGTAATCAGGCAATTTGTGGCTATATGAAGGCAGATTACAAAATTCTCTTGTTTGTCCTCTTTGACTGTAAGGAACTGGAATGTTTTCAACAAGAAAGAGAGGCCATTTGTTTAAAAGTGATTGAAAATAAATATCTCCCAACACTGCACTTCATTAACCTCTGGCATTGGATATTGCAAGGGTGGACAGCAAGATAGATTTTAAAAGATTACAAAAAATCTGAAATATTTATACTAGTTAGGGAAAGAACATAATTACATGAGAGAGAACAGGTATTATGTATGCAGACTGGAAGAAGAACTCATTGGGAATAGCACTGTGAGGAGGACTTAGGGGTTACTGTCACTTCAAGTGGGGGAAGAAAGATAGAGTCAAGAAGGCCAAAAAAAATTTGAAATTTTAAAGTAAGAATCTTAGGCTCACTAGCTGCAGGAAAAGTTGAAGAGAATTTGGTCTTGCTAAATCTATGCCAGCTGCTGATGTCCTTGGAATTGTTTTCACTTGAACTTAGTGCACTAAATAAACAGGTTAGATCAATATGATCACAAACCCAACTGTAAATCAATTTGTATGATATACAGATATTAACAACTGCCAAGCTGTTTCTCTGCAGCTGGAGTGAGTCAGCCAACAGCATGCATGGTCTTCAGGTTTTGTCATTTGAAATAGCAAGTCAGTTTACGTTATATTCATATTCTACTTCAATCTCAAAGTAAAAGTGTATGATTCAAATAGAACATCAGCTCAGGGTTTCAAGTTTCAAAGCTATTTCTTTCCACATGTCCAAACTATTCCTAGCAGGTGAATAAAATTCTTGTATGATAACAAAAAAACGCAACTCAAGGATAAGATAGTCATGAATGTTTTCTTCCCTTAGAAATAGAGGATTACAAAAATGTCTTCTAACTATCTTCTTGTTGAGGCAGCCTGGGGAATGCTTGGTACTCCTTGCTGCAAAGTCATTCTGCCATTTAGCTTCCAGCCTGCTGTCCAGTGTCTGTGACAGTTCAGTCAGATCAGCCATAAGAAGGGAGAGATTGATGTTTTAATGTTTAGAAGCAGATTTGCACAAATTTGAATGAAAATATACTACCTTTTGCCTACATTTTGTGTAAGGGAGGGGAAAGCCAATTGCTTTCCAGTACTTTAGTGCAAACACTGAGAAGAAAAAAAATACAAGCACTCCTTTCCAAGCCTGGCTGCAGAGGATCCCTACTTAAAATGTGGGCACCAAAGCTGTTTGCACAACAGTCCTAATTCATCTCTCACTGTTAGCGCAGTTGACCAATGCAACTCTCTTTTTCCCTTCATTAATCATTTTGCAACAATTCTTTCTTTTTTTAACAAATCTTTTTCTTTTTTTTTTTTTTAAAGTAACAGAACTGCAAAATAGAATGTATAAATGAGAAAAAAGAAATACAAGGGAAACTAATAGCAATGTCTATCTGCAATGGCAACACTTGCATCAACGGGAAAAGCTGAAAGCCAGGAAGATTTGTAAGATGGAGAGATTAGTGAAGACATGGTGATTCTAAGACAGATGTGTTAAGATAAGTTATTCCCTTTTTCAGTGCATTCTATGTCAGACAGAATATTTGACAGATTGCGTAGGACACAGATGAAAAAATAAGAACCTTCCCTTCCTGAAAAGTCAGAATATCACTTTCATAGTGCATCAGTAGGACTATTTGCTGGATGAAGTAAGAAAATTTCTCTAAGAGGTTCAGAGAAAACTATAAAGTAATAAATCAATAAGTAAAGCCAGATGGCACATTTTGAACATAAATCTTTGAGCAGTTATATTGAAAATTGAAGACTGAAAAGGCTAAACTACTGTGTCTTCCTCACGAAACAGTTGTCTTGGTAGACAGCTGATAATGCTACGGCATAGGAAAGTCCATTCAAGACATCAGGCTAGGACTGCAGAAGAGACACAGATCTGCAGGAGATATGGACCTCTGGAGTGGCAGTTGAGGGAACAGGCTATAATGTGTCTTGTCACCTATATGCAAGCAACTGAGTCATATGGCAAATGGCTAGCTGAACATCTTAATTTCAGCTTTTGAGTGCACAGTAAATGAAAGTGGGAAGAGCCCTAGGGAACATCCTGTCCTGTTGCTCCCACACCATTCTCTGGGGGAGATACAGTAGTCAGATATTAAATAATATGCTACTTTGGATGTTGTCTCTTTCCCTGTGATGTGACTCATCTCCTGATCTTGCTGCTGCACCAGCAGTGCTCCAATGAGAAAGCAGCTGGGCAGGAGATAAGCTGTGCCCACAGCTTATCTGTTGCTATGACAAGAAAAAATATTGTATGTATGTGATGAAAAAAATATGTATTTCATATTTGTTCACTTTTTTCTATGATTCTGTTGGAAAAAAAACTGAAGGATCTTGATTTTTAAGTTATGTACTTTTTCTTCCTAAAATACTCCTATGCTTTGTTCTTCAATAGTTAATGAACACAGAAACTGAGCCGGGCCTTCATTCGTTTAAGGTCAGCCATAATTTGAAGAAGAAAGACTATTTGAAGAAAAATAAATAAACCTTCAAATTAGACAAAAAATTGGGACAAAAGAGAACTAAGTTATGTTGCTTTAATCTCTTCACAAATTTCATATGTGGTCATATTAGATTTGACCAGATTTCATTATGTTCATTAAGGTTGCTTTATGTCTATCCAATTAGCTTCTTCATAGGCAGCACAAACACATCTGGTTTTGATCAAGCCTACAATCAAATATTTTTTATTTCTTTTTTTTGAAACCAAATCAGAAAAGCTCATGAGAAATGTCTGGAGCAGCTTGTTTCCTGTTCTTACATTACTGGTTTCTATTCCCATCCACCTCTCCTTTGCTTCTGACTGTAAAATGGATAGGAAAGGACTTCTCGTACCTTGAATTGTTTAGATATTCAGCTTAGGATCTGTATCCTTGTTTTGCCATTCATTACTGTGTAACAGATATCTTCTTTGGAGAAGATGGCCCAGTACTTTCCACTGAGCAGGTATTGTATCAATATCTTCATGTTACATTATTATGATAATAAGTAAATATTTATACTTCTATAATTATAATTAATAATACGAGCTAACAACAGTTGCTTCTAATAGCTGTTTAACAAGTTGCTTTGCTTTGGATTTGCATGCAAGGAGGATATGAACTCTCATCTAATCCAAGATTAATTCTGGCGCTATGAGCCATTTTTTGCAAGATGCCAGCTCCTTGGTTGTCAAGTGAGAAATTGAATCAGAGTTTACAGATTTGTGCAGTGATTTTGGAAAGGGTACACCACTCACTTACATCAGAATAGACAGAACTTCAGGTGCGTAGAAGTAATTAGTGGACTTTGGGGGATGATAATCATGCCTTGTGCTGCATGACTTATCTGCTGCATCTAAACTACAGTCAACTAAGGGCTCCCACAATCCTTAGTTAAATCTCAGTCTAAAATCACCTGTTCATGTTACATGTCTCTGCTGGGCTATGTTTTGCAAAATACCACACATCCACAGCAGCTGTAAAACTTCAGTGCCAAAGCAGGTATTTTCAAGTCCAACTGTTTTATATGTTCCTCATAAATGGGGAAGAAAATGCAACATAAAGCATTTGAAACAGTCTGGTATTTTTAGACAATCAAGTTTTCCCTTCAGGTTCAATTGGAATTTTACTCCTTTACTGTACCATTACAGCAGCTTTTTTATTTTATAACATTTCTGTTAAATTCCTAGGATAGCTGCTTTACAAGTATAATTTCAGCTTCTGAGTTACAGGGCATTTTCTCCACACAGCAGAGCAATGAAGCAAAGCATTTAAATGGAGATTGCTGTAGTATTTCACAGTCCTTCTGTAGACAGAAGTGTGGTAGCAGAATTGTAAACAGTCCCTCTTCCTTGCAGTCCTGTCAAAATCCAGGGAAATGTTTTTACCTTTCCTTAATGTTGAAGCTGATAAAATGTACCTCAAATGTATATCCTAGCTGCACGTGATACCTATTTGCAGGAACAGAGATATATTTCACGCAAGTGTGGGTACTTGAGCAGATTCCTTGAGCACCATGGTTAAACAAACAAAATATCACAGATTTTCTGTTGAAATGGTCTTCAAATTTCAGTGTTTGAGAGGGGAAAGTGGAATTTCAATTTGCTGATTTTTTTGCCAACTGATTTATGTATTTATGTATTTATGTATTTATTTATTTATTTATTTTAATATATCCAACCAACCTCCAGCAATGCCAGGCTAAATCGAAACTGAAAAACAGTATGTTTCCAGACATCTTAGACACTTTCTAAACTGCAATTTATCATGCATTTTTTTTCCTGTCTTTTTTTATTAAATGAGCTGCCCTAGGCAATTAGCAGAACTGAAGTCTTCACAAGAAGCTTTTTCAAATATTCTTAAGAATACAGATAACATCATGCAAGATTTTTATCCTGGAAATGAAAACGAATACTGATTGATTGCACATCACTGTAGCACAGTCATGGAAGGAATATGACTGAACACTTTAACTGATAAGATTACAGACTATGAGAAGAAAATGTTTTTGATGTCAGACTCTAGAAATTCAACAAGAGTAAGTGTAGAGTCCTGCACCTGGGGAGGAATAACCGCATGTGTCACTAAAGGCAGGGGGTTGGCCTGCAGAGAAGGCCCTGGGTGTCCTTGTGGGTAATAGGTTGGCCGTGAGCCAGCAGTGTGTGCTGGTGGCCAAGAAGGCCAATGGGACCCTGGGGTGCATTAAAAGGAGCGTGTCCAGCTGGTCAAGGGAGGTGAACTTTTCCCATCTACTCCACCTGGTCAGGCCTCATCTGGAGTGCTGTACCCACTTCTGGGCTCCCCAGATTAAGAGAGACCTGGTGCTCCTGCAGCAAGTCTAGCAAATGGCTAATAAAATGAGAGATGGGAACACCACTCATATAAGGGAAAGCTTAAAAAACTGGGCCTGTTCAGACTGGAGAAGGCTCAGTGGATATCTGGACCAGACCCTTTCCAGTGATACCCAACAACAGGATGAGAAGAGGTGCGTGAAAACTGAAATACAGGAAATTCCAAAAAAATAGAAGGTAAAACTGTAAATGCAGGTGACTGAACACTGGCACAGTTTGTAAAAAAAAGAGTTTGTAAAGTCTCCTTTCTTTATTTAAAAGCTGTCTGGAGACAGTCTGGGAATGTGTTCTTCCTTGAGCAAGGAAATTGGACCAAATGACTTTTAGAGATCCCTCCCAACCTCAACCAGACTGTGATTCTGTGATATTAACTAGCTAATTTTTTTTGCTGCTGTTGTTAAATCTTTGATGCTGCTTGCAGAAAGGACTCCTCCAGTTTGCCTCGCCTCTGATAGAAACAAATCTCAGTGTAACAGAATATGATTTGATTCAACTCTTCTAGCCTACCTAACTTCAAACATATAATAATTAGACATCTAGTCATCTCTGAGATAGTTATCTGAGGCAAAATGAAAGGATGGCAGTGCAGAGCAAGTATCCATCGAACATCTCTGAGAACAGAGTGATTTGTCACCTGAAAATAACTAAGGCCATGGTTTTCAATTATTAGAGTACAGCCAGCAGTCTCCTTTTACAGTCTTACTTCAAATTTAAAACAGAAACCTATTTAGTTTTCTACTAAGGAGCATTGATCTTCTTATCTAGTGTCAAAAAGTGTCAGAAAACCAAAGCGTCACACATTTTAACTTTTAAAGGCAGTCAACAGCAAGTCTGAGAAAAAGGATGAAATCATCTCTTAGAGTCTTCATTTTTTAGAATAAGTACACTAGTTGCAAAGCTGCTATATTATGTTTGCAGCAGAATAGTATCCAGGGATTTGAAGAGAAACACACAGCATCAGGAAAATAGATCTGTTTGTCCATTTGTTTCCACTGACTCGTAAAACCAAAGGGACTGCAATGCATTCTTATGACTGTAATAGTAATCCCCACAAACGTGTCACATCCAACAAGTAAAGAAATCAGAATCCCTTCTGTACAGGTCATGCATTACACATGATAAATCATCTTTTTTCTTGAGCCAAAAGGTAAAAAAAATACATCTCCTGTGGTAATAAGTAGTGAAGAGAGAAAAACCACCAACATGACTCCCTAGGTGCAGATGAGCCTCTCCTGCACTTCCTTGACCAGAATTAATTTGTGTTGTCTTTGTTTGGTTTCAGGCAAGTATAACTGCAGCCGCATAGGTGAGACTGAGCATTCCTATGCACTCCTACTTGTCTCTGGCTGAACTCACAGGGTAAGACCAAACCTTCACTTGGAGAAGCACCTTGTTTAGCTTAGCTACTCTGAGCATAAATTAAAAGCCTCACCCAAAACCTGCCAAAGCCACCTTCCATGCCTGAAGCTGTAAACTGTTTTATTCATACATGGACCTGAGACAGAAGGCAGCCTTTCATATGCTAAGCACGCGCATTTGAACAAAGCAGCCTCCACCAATGAAAGCCTGAACAAAACCAAAAGGAGACTTACACAGAGGAGAAGTTGAGGACCTATACATATATAGGACAGCAGGAGGAGCACATAAATATCCTGCAAAGGTGAAGTGTCTCACTGACTTCTGTGGCAAATAGGATAAAGTATAGATAGGAAAGTCATTTCTTATCAGAATGCACTGTCGGGAACAGCTGACTCACAAGAAAGTTGTGCTGCTGTGCAGTGGGATCTTCATAGGCTAGAGAGATAAGACAAGAACATTGTTACATTCCTACAGTCCCAGTCCTACACCTGGGAAGGAACAACAGCACATACCAGGACTGCTGAGGGCCATGCAGGCAGAAATCATCTTTGTCCAGAAAGATATGCGTGTCCTAGTGGACACCAAGTTGAACACGAGTAAGCCATGTGCTCTTGCTGCTAAGAAGGCTGACAGTATCTTGGCTACATTAGGCAAAGTATCAACAAAAGATTAAGAGAAGTGATCCTTCCCCTCTACTCAGGTGCTGATAAGGCCACATCTGGAGTGATGGGCCCAGTTATGGGCCCCCCAGTACAAGAGAGACCTAAACATACTGGAAAGAGTCCAACATATGATTACCAATCACCTCTTCTTGAGGAAAGGCTAAGAGAGATGGGACTGCTCAACCTGGAGAAGAGGAGGCTTAGCGAGGTTCTTACTGAGATGTATGAATATTTGAAAGACGGATGCAAAGAAGGCAGAGTTAAGCACTCTTCAGTGATGTCCAGTGATGTTCAAAAACCTGAGCACAGAAGGCTCCCTCTGAACATGAGGGAGCACTCCTGTACTGTGAGGGTGACAGAGCATTGGCATGGGTTACTCAGAGAAATTGTGAAGTCTTCTCCTCGGAGATCTTCAAGAGCTGCCTGAATACAGGCTTGGGCAAACTGCTCTCTGCTTGAACAGGAGTGTTAGACCATATCACCACCAGAGGTTCCTTCCAACTTCAGTCAATTCTGTGATTCTGTGATTTTGTGGTACTATGAGGTCTGGACTTAAAACATCTAAAAAGATGAATAAGTTTTGGACAATCAAAAATTGACCAGGAGATTATCACACAGCCTTTACAAAGATCTGCTGTAAAGAGACTCGAGATCGTGTTTGAAAATGAACATGCAGGTTCGGTACAGTTGAAGTGGACTGGTTGTTTACAGTGACATGGCTGTAGGGATAACATTCCTTTGCATTCTTTTTCTAATCCCTTTCAGCAGAACTAAGCTAATGCTAGGGATTTCTAGCCTGGGACTGAGCACAGTACAGAGGTACCTGAGGCAGAAGTCTAGCCATACTGTTTTCAGCATGGTCTCATGCTCACTTGGCTCCAGTCTTTGGCATCGGAGAACCCAGGAAATTGCAACTTAGTGTGTCAACATTATGTTTGTCTGCCATGGAGAATGATGGAGAAACATTGTATAGGCATCTGGGTGCGCTGAGGAAATACGTCTCTACCAAGAGATCACCTGTTAGGACAGCAAGTACCAGAACACATTGAGTGACTGTGATTTTATATTCACTTCTCTTTGTTGGACTTGTCTTCCTCTTTCTTCACGTTCAGATTCCTTTTTGCAATTGCTTTTAAGCAAAATGTAAACACAGGCTGCAATCTTGGTCAGGACACTTTGTTTGGTGAAACAGAATCAGATTTTTTTCCTATGTTCTAATGTGGACCTTTCTCGTTTCTGCAAAAATCCCTGCTCATGCTAGGAGCAAGGATTTGTACCCCTCCCTGTGGACAATGCTGGGCACTGCACTTAATTTTGCAGGACAATAATCTACTTGTTGACAACAACAACAAAAAGTATTCTATTTGTTCATCAGTTTTTAAAACCCATCAGTCTGTTAAGAGGGCTAAAGGAAATATCTCTGTGCTGTACGCCACAAGAGATTTTAAGGTTAGAGGAGAATAGAGTGTAATTTTAATTTTCCAGAAAATAAAAAATCATTGCAGTGTCAAAGTTTACAAGATCTCTTAATCATCTTTTTCCTGATCTATGAGTCTCCATGCCCTGATCTGTTCTCATCTTATTCTCTTCCCTCTATGCCAGGAGCTGTCTAGAGCCATGGAAATGGATTGACGAATGCAACAGTCCTTAGGTTCTAGCTGAGCCCTCAAATTATGAAGTAAGGACACGATGCAAACTTCTTAGTCTCTGCAGCATGTGTACGCCAAGAAAACAATCAAGACCCATGGGAATACCTAAAGGAACTAGAACAGTTTGGCTCAGTTTCAGTATTGAGTGCATGAATGCTTTACCCCAAGAATAAAAAGTGTAAGACAATAAATCTCTAGGGCAGCTGTGACAGTTCTTTGCAAGAACATGAAGGTCTGAACATTGTAGTTGCAACCAAAAAGCTTGAAAAAACAACAAACTATTAGATGTCCCCATTAATGGAGCAGGATCTCATGACAGCTACAGATCTGTTGTGATTAAGATGAAGTAAGGCAGAGTGTTTTTGATTCACCAGATGAACCATTTACCCAGAAGCACTAGGAAAATGTAATGTCTGAGACAGAAGAGTCCTCCTGCAAATGCAGGATGAAGACATAAGGACTCTCTGCTGTGGCAGATATAAAATCTGTGAGTGCAACCAGTACATGCAGTCTCTACCCCCAAATAAATACCCCCAAAAAAATCTTGCACATACCAATAAAAGAGCAAGGAAATACATCTGAGGTAGCCCAGCTGATGGTCTGCCCAAACAGACAACATTTCACTCTCTCTAAACAAGCTTTGATGCCAACAGCAATCCAGATACAATACTCCCACCGCAAGTATAGATATTCAATCCTTTAGAATACTCAGGAGATCACTTGGCCTTACTCCAGCCTTGCTTGCATTCTTCCTGAGCCCTTGGGACCCTATTTCATATGTTCTTTACCATGACCTTGGCTTTCAAGTCTGGAATACTGAACATTGTGAAATCAGAACTGGCCTGGGAACATTAGTTAGGCTACACTAGCATGCACCTTTTTCTAAGTTTTATTCCCCACTGATTTACATTATTCATGTTTCCCTGACATTTTGCAAACGTATATGGACTGTGCCTGCTGTTTCCACTCAGCTTATAGGCTTACTCTTCCCCGGAGCACCACCATGTGAGAACCGAATTACTCCAAGTGGTGGCCCAAGACAAATCCTCTTCAGTCAGTGAGGCCTAGTCAGGCCAAAAGGTTGGACACCCATGCTTTAGAGTTACTAGATGTTCCAGGGAATTCCACTTTTTCTCTAGGATACTCCAGTTTTGAGAAAATCAAACACATCTGAAAGATTTTTCTTGACCCTTGGCAAAAAAAACAGCTTGTCTGTGGATGCATGCAAAAGCAAGTTGAAAATGGCTGGTAAATCCCTTATTTTGTAACTATTACAAATCAGACTTGTTAAATAAAATCTGGTCTGCTTCTTCACAATATCCCCTGCTCAAAAAGTTGTTTGTTACACAATCATTTTAGGCCCATGGAAATATCTATCTCCTTCTGTAATCCCTGGCAAGTCAGTTATACTGTCCTTGTGCTAGCTGAAAAATGCATAAAATTTCACAGCATCTTAAGTCTGACAGTTTTAAAGTATTTTTTCAGCTGATCAGTTCTCAGATGTGGTAGACTGTTGCATGAGCTTTCACACCAGTTCAGGGGGAGGAGCGAAAACTGGATTGTCAGACTGGGGAGATGTGGGATGTTCCCTTTGAGAATCAATGGGGACATACAAAAGCTCAAGGTAAGAGGAAAACCACAAATTTTCTGTGGTGACCTAGAAAAGAATACAGCTTGTTGATACAGAACCTTGAACGTCACACTGTGTCCCCAAGGTTTCTAAGTTCTTCAGAAAACTACTTCCCTTTTCCATCCCTTTCTCATCCCTCTAATAAACATAACAACATAACAAAGCAAAATAAAAATTGGGTCTCTAACAGTTAGACAACTTTACAGGACTGAGCTGAATAACTGAACAAATAAAAGCTTTGCATTCTCTAGGCTGTGATCCTTGTTTGTGGCTTAAGCATGTGGCTGGCAGCTGGATGCCAGTTTTATGAGGACTTTAAAGACATAAGCTGAAGCATAGCAAAAAGGCAGAAACTGCAGCAGCAAGGAAGAGCTGTAATAAAAGAAAGTTTAGCAAAAGATATTGTCAAGAGTTAGCATAATTTGGAAAATGCATTCATAGCCCTCCTGAAAATATATGTATCTAAGTAGAAAATTACTCTGTCACAGACCTCCAGGATAAGGAGGTTAGTATGTGTGTGCCTTAGGGAAATAAACTGTACTGAAAATCTTTATTTGTCCTTTGGCTAATTGCACACTGTGACCCTTTTCTGTGTCATGCTAACCCGAATTTGCAAGCTGATTCTCCCAAAGACTTGGACAAGAATTTGAATACATGGTTATATGTGTTTCCTTATTCAGCAGAGCATCTGAACAGATGTTTCTGGCAGTGGAACCTGTGTGTTCCCAGGGAAGAGCTCGTGAAGCACTTACTTGGATAGGGATAGATTAATTGACTGAGCCTCCAACGTTGAGTACTGACAAGAGAGTCTCTGCATTTAGAAAAAATCCTTTGAAACAAGTATATTCTCTCTCCTAGATTTCCCTTATCTTCTCTCCCAGCTTTCCCTTTGGGATGCAGGTGAATTTATAATACACACTAGTGTCTGTCATTTACCTCTTCCCTCTAAATCTCAGCTTAACTTCTCACAGAGTATCAGCATAGTACAGATTTTCAAAAAAGTTTAAACTGTCACAGAATCTCAGAGCAACCCTTTACTCCCCAGGGATGACAACTGCCAGTCTATTTATCAGTATAGGGTTACAGTCAGTTCCTTAATTGAAGAGGTATTTAGAACAGTCAGAAAACATTAGAAATGGCAAAAAGCACTCATTTCTGGAATGATGTAGAGAATACTTAATGCATTTGCAGATTTTCCTTCACTTTTCGTTGCTGGTTCTTTATAAGGCCTATAGTATTAGGTTTTATCACAAGAGTGTAAGCCTCCCAGGCTCTGCAGTTTCTGGGGAGATGATTATTTCCCAGGCCTCACTATGTAGCCATTTTATATAATGCACGTGATCTAGACTCTTCAGAGCCAGTGAAGAGTAACAACCTTTCATGCACCAAACCCTACCAGCAGACACCTTGGGGTCACCACCATCAATCAGTCACATCACTGGTGTAATACTTGACTAACTGAAATTTCTGCTGACACAAAAATCTCTAGCTCAATAGAAGCTTCTGCCAGAACAATATGATTCTATATAAAGAATCACAGAATGGCCTGGGTTGAAAAGGACCACAATGCTCATCTAGTTTCAACCCCCCTGCTACGTGCGGTGTCGCCAACCACCAGACCAACAACCATCAGGCTGCCCAGAGCCACATCCAGCCTGGCCTTAAATGCCTCAGGGATGGAGCATCCACAACCTCCTTGGGCAACCTGCTCCAGTGTATCACCATCCTCCATGAGAAAAACTTCCTCCTAATATCTAACCTAAATCTCCCCTGTCTCAGTTTAAGACCATTCCCCCTTGTCCTGTCACTGTTCACCCATGTAAACAGTCATATGTAGGTACTGGCAACTTACATTGTCCATAGGGCTTTCCTTAGCCAGCCTTCAGAGAAGCTCAGCAGTGCAGGAGAAGCTGAGATTCACCAACAGATTTAGTGATTTCTCTCCACTATGAAATGGAAAAAAGAACATACTTGTCCAAAAATTGCACTTCTATTCAAGACGGTTCTGGATCCACGCAATTGAGTTCTCCTGCTCTTGCACTTGCATACAGATATGCAGAAATTACAAATTTTCCAGCAGTTTTAATTGTCAGATTTTCATTTAGGTACTCTGTAATTTTGATATCAGAAGATATTCAGACATGCTCTGAATGCTGACAGACTGATAATGAAAGCAACAGTCTCCATACTGTTAAAGGAAATATAGTTTTCCTCCCCCGTGATCATATCCCTTTCTTAAAGAAAACAATTCAAAGACTGTCATATAAAGAACAAAATAATAGTCATACTGGATAAGACCAAAGGCCTATTTAGTCTCATATCTCAGCAACACCAAAACCACATAGATAAGGTCAGAACAGTCCTGCAATGATACTACCAAAGGATTCTGTCACAGACACTAACTTTTGTGGCTGGAAACTTCAAAAGGCAAAAGCACATGCAACTTTATCCATACTGATGAACTTCCAACTAATTTTCTTCCTTGAATTTGTCCTGTCTCTTTTTTAATTCGTGCAAAGTCAGCCCCTCAGCACTTTGGAGCTAGGGATCTATAGTTCATATTTTCTATGTATTATGTTAACAGCCCTGTCTTTTCCCTTGTTTTGAACACACTACCTTATGTGCCATTTTGAGTACCTTATTTATTTTGCTATGAGAAATGACTTCCCTATTTCCTCCACATTCCTCTATCAGTCAGCTCTTTTCCAGCCTACAGCATCTTCATTTGCTCTAGGAATTCCTGCTTTACTCCATTACCTGCAGTGTGTAGATACAAAGAAACAGAGTCCTTCAAGCAGTTAAAAAAAAAAAAAAAAAAAAAAAAAAAAAAAAAAGAAAGAAAGAAAGAAAGAAAGTGGTGCAAACAAGTAGGAAAAGTGCAAAAATGACATTGTTCAGAAACAATTAGAAAATAGTTGGAGACAACAAAAGCTAGCAGACTCTCCAATTCTCTAGCCTTCCTTTCAGTGTAACGCAAAAATTGCAGCAGTTTCCTTATGCATTTCAGTCAGTCTTGTTCATATAGAGGTGTGTGGGCAGGGGTGCAAATCAAAGAAGACACTGCATTTTGCTGCTTTATCAAAAATTCTGGTCATGTGGCAAGAAACCACCTGTGTGTAGCTGAGCATCAGAACAATTTTCTATCCAAAGCCTTAACTATCCCACTCTTCCTTCCAGAAAACAGTGACTGTGACACCTGAAATGCCTCAGACACAGCAATAAAGTTAATTTCATTAATCATAAAATCCTCACATAACTGGTTTCACAGCTACTGCGATAAATATCTGCTCTGATTGATACAGACACATAGAAGAAACTTGTAATGGAAAAACTGCCTCACCTGTAACTAGCAAACCACGAATTAGAGGCAATAATTGGCCCTACAAGCAGAAAATAATGTCATCATTATTCTTGCTAGTTGTCACCTTAAATCATAGTATTAGATGATGACTCTGAGGTGTTCACTGATAAAAAATTCTAGCTTCTGTCCATGTGAAGACACTAGTCCCCCTCTGTTTGAAGCAGAGGCTGCAAACACTGCCTCTGTTGACAAATATGTGTAGTGCACCTTCAGTTCAGGATATTGACTTGCTTTGAATTGGGCTATGCTTACTCTGAAGGCAACAAGGATTTCTGTGCCTTGTGAGCTTTTGAACTATAAATGATGATGACCTTCATTTTCCAGTTAGATTTTTATGTACTGAAAATGGGCCCTACTGAGTGGAAGAGAAGAAAATCTGCTACCCACTTATACCAATTTTCTTTATACACAAGCAGCACTGGAAATTTGTTAGATTTCTCCATTTAAATAAGCGAAAGGAAAAGTGAAGAAATGTTTCAGTCAAAGTGTGTGTTAACACCTCCAGGATTTCTGACCAGCT